TACTTAAATGAGCATGTCAGCAAGTGTGTGCAAAAGTGTTGGGGGAGGGCAGATAGAGAATCTTCAGTGTTTATTCCAACTTCATGTTTTCCCCTTTGAACAGTTCCAGTATCTGCTATAAAGAAGGCAGCTTGCCCTATCAGCTCTTTGCCCACCATCACATTCCCAGGCTTTATTTCAGCTCTTCTCAAGATGACATTACTTAATGTGATGGTTAGGAGATAAAGACAGTGCATAAAGGGCATCAGAGCACTTAATAAAATAAACTGTACTGACAGAGAGGGATGTACTTCTTATGCCCTTGGAGATGAGTCACCAAGTTATTAAAGTGGAAAAAAAAACAGGCAAGAAGAAACAAAATGACTGGGTAAATTGGACCTAGTGCAACTCAGGAGAGGCAAAGTTATTGCAATTCAGTTACTAATCTAGAAAAAAATATAATTCACAAAAACTGCCCCAAACAAGAAGTATCCCATGGGTCACAGGTGAACACGTAGGTGCATGGAGGTACACATCAAAAACAACAAGCCATTTTCCATTTTATTACTTTAATCATTTTGTCAAAATAATCTGAACATTAAGACTTGATTTGTTAAAAGAATGTGTAGCATAAAAGTCCCTGAGACACATCCAAGAGTGACTTGAAATGTATGCAATAGTTATCTACCAAACTAATTAGCATGGACTTGATCCTCTCCTTGATATCTGAGGGGTGTGTGTGTGTGTGTGTGTGTGTGTGTGTGTGTGTAAGCTAAAGCAGACTCTCCCTTTCTGGTGCCTGTGCCTGGTTTTCTGCCAGTTTATTGCTCCTATATATGAACTCATTTCTAAACTGTAAGGAAGGGACACTGTGAGGTGAAGTAGCTAAGCCCTAGGGTGCCAATTAGTAGAATGATAGCAAACGAAACTGGAAGGTCTCAAGAGTTTATTTTGTGCAACCCCCTCATTTTGAAGTTCAAGTGACAGAGGCTTAAAGGGGTTGTGATTTGCACAGGCATGGCTGCTTCTGACACTACTATCTAACCTTAGACAAGTCCTTCAGTGGTTCTGGACTTTGACTCCTCCCTCTGTAAAAGGGATTGGTGGCAATCACAGCTAGCATTTTCTAGGTTCTTCCTATGTGCCAGGCACTAGATTTAGTACTTTAAGGGTGTTATCTAATACTCTCAACAAGACTATAAATTATATATGATTACTTTTATTAGAGCTGAAGCTACCAAAACACAAAAAGCTTAAATAATTTTTCCAAGATCGACTAGGAAATATTGCAAAAACTGGTCTAGGAATCCAGGAATATCTGCCACCAGAATTCCTAAATTACAATTCCTTAAATCCCTTCTAAGAAACCCCATCAGGTTAGATTTTAAAACTATATACTTAATTTCCCAAATTCCTTATATCTCTAGAAGTCTAGAGCAGAATTGGCAAACAATAGCTGGTGGGCCAAATCCAGCCACCCCATTTGTTTACACATTGTCTGTGGCTGCTTTTGTGTTCCCACAGCAGAGCGGAGTAGTGGCAACAGACTACATAACCAGCCTGTGAAGCGTGAAATATTTGCTGTCTGGCATGTACAGAAAAGGTTTACTGATGCCAGGTCTACAGCCTTGAAAATTTTGAATATCCTGTAATGGTATAGTACTTTAAAATGTTCAAAGCACTTTGGTACATATCATCATGTTTAACCCTGGTTTTGTAGGGGCATTCATGCATTATTAAGAAGGAAGCTAAAACTCTCCTAAGTTCTTTATTTAGGTTCAGACTCCAAACTGCAAGCTCTTTTCATGAAGACACCCTGTCTTCCCTACTGTCTTCCCCTTGCTGTTAGGGGAAGGTTTGGAAGATGAAAACGATCTGTGAATATTGCAAGCAAATCAGACTGTTTTATGATGTTATTATCTTTCAAGGTTCACTCATGTAGAGACACCCAGTGATAAAAAAAATTAAAAAATTAAATTCATAATAAATTTAAAAGAAAAGTGTATGCCTTTTAAAGGAGGGCATGATAATCAGAGAAGTAATTTTTGAAATATATATATATATATATATATATATATATATATATATA